AGAATGAATTCAATCCGTTGTAACTGCCGCCGCTGCTGGTGAATACGACTCTAGCGTTGCGACTGAGCCGCTGCTCGAGCAGGTGTGTCATAAGGACACTACCAATTACGTTCGTAACGTACACGACATCGCGGCCTTTTTCGTTGTAGCGACGACCTCCAACCGGGGCGTCAGCGATGCCAGCGTTGTGTACCAGCATGTCGATTTCGGTTCCTTGGGCGTTCCATCGCGAGCAAAAGGCATGTACGCTCTCCATATCGCTGAAGTCGACTTTCCAGCAAAAGACATTGCCTGGTCTGACACCTGCTCCATTGACTTGCCCGGAACTGCTGTTGCTATTGTTGTTGAGCTGAGACTGGATGAAGGACACAGCTGCGTCGCCTTTCTCTTGGTTCCGACATGCGAGGCAAACATCAGCGCCTTGCCTAGCTAATTGGATGGCGATCCATAGCCCGATTCCGCTGTTGGAACCGGTTACGATAGCTGTTTGTCCAGTGAGGTCACGCTGGGGAACGGTTTGAGGCTTGAAGAGACGGGCGAAGAAGAGGGTGAAGACGGAGGAGAATGCAGAGGAGAAGAAACTAAGATAGAGTGATGGCGACGCCATGTTCATGCAGCCACAAACCCTTCGCTTCTTTTTATTGAGAGTTGCAAGGTACAATGGCTAAAGTGGAATCGAGGGGTTGCGAGTCCGGGTTATATTGTTTAGTAGAGGCAGTAAGCTTACAGCATAGTTTCATCCTGCGGCTCTACAGCCATACACGTGTGGCAGCTACTGCATCTTATGAGGGCCTTGCAGCCTTCACTAGCGTACAATTGATCTGCAAACCCCATTACCAGGCTTATATAGGCGTAGTATGGGGGCGAAGAAGTGGGTGCCTACTAATGGCTGGGATCTTAGCCAATCGGCCAGGGAGCACATGTAAGACTACAACCAGGAACGTAAAATCGACAGGGGGTAGGCTGGGCAAAATTTGTATACACAATCCAACAATCGCTAACTATTGTAAATTAAAGGTCTGAACATGGGCTGCGTCCTACAAACCCCTCATGATATCGTCAATGGTAACAGGCTTTCTCACTGCGTTCGAGAATCCCTCATGGAATGACACCCATATCCTCCCCGCATCTCCCTGCATCTCCCCAAGCTCATGATGCTTCGTTTCTTTTTTACTTGCAGTCGTCTCTTGAACCACTCTCCCGAAGAAATCGCGCTTGACAGCTTTCTTGTTCCCTGCTGCAATCTTTTCTTCTGTGGTCATCTCATCCTTCTTTCCGACTTCGGGTTCGTCGTCAAGCTCGTCTTGACCGCCACGGCGTTTGCGATTAGCTTGCTCACGGATTGCAGATTCTTTCCGCCATTCTTGCTCGAGAACGCTGCGTACAGCATAGCGTGCTTTCTCATCTTTTTTGTTGGCCAGCGTCTCGAAGGTGGCTAGGACGTCGAGCGCGGGCTCCATGCGCCAAATGAAGCCTGTATTTCTTTGTGTAATATCTTCCGTTTCAATTCGGGATTTCTCGAACCGGACGCCGGTTGCAACCATGGCATCAACAGCCTTTTTTACTAGCTCTTTCTCTGATGCTTTGCGTACTGAGGCTGTGGCAACCGACTTTGATCCTGCAGCGCCTGTGTTGACTATGACAGGTTTAACGTCCGGCGACAACATGCGCAAGACGTAGGGTATTAGTTCTTTTGCCATTTCTTCTGGACTTCGAAACATGCGGGTCAAAGGTAAGCTCAAGGTTGTCTGCAGTGCCATCAATTGAGCTCTACTAGCCTTGGTCTGCTCCATTGCGGCGAAACTTGCACCAGGACCGGAGAAGGGTGTTGTTTGGGTGTCTGGATCCGTCAAAGGGTTTGCCGAGGAACGAATGGGCGAGGCGAACAGATCGTGGAATGCTAGTACGGAGTTAGAAAGATATGGTGCCAGCTCCCATTCCTGTGAACCATGCACGGCAGAATTGAGGGTATCGTGGAAATGTAACCATTCGTAAGCTGCGTTGGGTTTACTGAGAAAGGTGTCATCTTGGAAAGGCTTCTCAGGGTATGCGGCGAAGCAGTCTGGCCTTTGTTAGTACATACTGCCTGATTTAGGTTCCGAAGCAAACTTACCGGTCACAACGCGGTCGCAATCGCCGCTTGTATCGACCATCTCTCTAAGACGGTCCATAGCACGTCGCTTTGCTGCTTCTGCAACACCAACAACGCCACTCTTTGCCCTCGCTGCTGCCGTTGCCGGATCAGCTGTCTCGGCTTGCTTGGGAAAGCCAGCGCCTTCACGGAAGACACGGTCGACCACATCTTTCGCGCCGCCTCGTCCCAGGCTACGAGTGGCTCCTCCACCATGCCTCAAGTCGTTGACAAGATTTTCTTCTATCCACTTCCGTGACAGATGTGGTGGCTCGGTTGAGTTGGAGCCATGTGTAGCTCGCAACCGCCCCGCAATCCACTCGCTTACAACCATGATCCCGCGAATGTCTCCTTCACCAGTGCCACTTCCAGTTCCGCCCTCTTTTTTTGTGCTTACACCCCATGTAGCTTCGCATAATCGGCGAACACCGTCGGAATCACACTGAATGCCTTCCTTGGTAAAGATATCCTGCATGCGTGAAACAACCATGTTGAGACCAGGTTTCCGAATGTGCACTATTTCGGCTAGGGAAGACTGCCGTAGTGGTCGTAGCGAAGGGTGATAGAGGTCGTTGCAAATCAATATGAGCGGCCGCAATAGGCGAAACTTGTCACCCTTCCTCTTCTTGGTACCGGCGCTCGACTGCCCTTGTCCCACTGCCTTGGAGTTCTTCTCGTCAAGATGAATTAGATCAATTAAGGCCTTTATAAAGCCACCTTCCCCCGAACCACCGCTCCCCACTACGCCGTCTACCTCATCGACGACAACACAGACAGGCTTACCAGCTTTGCGGACTTTGCCATTTGCTGTGCTGGTGTTAACGCCGCGCACGTTCTCAGTGCCGACCATATCTCGAATACGGCCTTTGACAACATTCCCACTACGTTCATCGGAAGCATTGATCTCTTGAACTTCGTAACCCGCTTGTCGAGCACATACATGTGCAAGAGTAGTCTTTCCAAGGCCAGGAGGACCGGTCAAAAGCAAGATCTTGCGATGCCTTTGCTCATCCTCTTCAAATCCATTCTTTGCTTTCTTCGGCTTTGCTTTAGCAGATCCCGGAAACACAATAGGGTCCCAAGCCTTTAGCCAACGCAGCACCGATCGGTGTGTTCTTTCGTCTCCAACCAAATCCGTGAATTTCTTTGCCCTGTACTTCTCAGTCCACATGAGCGTACGATGGCTCTTTCCACTTTTGATAGCCGGCTGTTCGACCGAATGGTGCGGTAGCTCCAAGTTTTGCATAGAATTGCTCAGTGCCTTCTCTTGGTCTAGGGCTTTGGCCTCGTCTATTAGCTGATGGATGTTGAGTCCATAATAGCTTGTCCTCGCTTTGCCTTGAACAGGCTCCGAACGTGCAGCAATTATCTCTTCGTATGACTGAACTTCGCGCTTGGCCTTTTTTGGTATGTGTATTACCTTCCCGGCTGCATTACGTGCGACCACGCCGCACAAAGGCAGTGCCGAATTAGACTCATGTGATGTTTGCGGTCTCTTGACTGGCGATTGTGACTGGGACTTAAAACTGTAGTTATCGAGCTCTTCGACGGGTATTGATTCAGGGTCTGCTAATTCGTCCTGACTTGCGGGTGGTGTATAGTTGGCAAAGCCCTCAGGGACTTCTGGAAGATGTTTAATACTGCTCACAGCCCTCTTCTTCATAGTGTGCTCCTTTAGTGCTGCAATGTCCTCTTCATCGTCCGAGTCATCCAAGAACCCACCAATCTTGCGAGTCGTATTGTTGTTTGGTACATCTTGCAAAGTCTCCCGTGCATCGTCTGGGCGCTTTCTCTTCTTGGGTGACGGCGGCTGCGGCATTGACGAGCTTGGTGGGTATGCGATGGGGGATGATATGAGCGGCATGGCGTAATTTGGAGGCGAAGAAGGAAAGAAAGGCCCTTCGGTCGATGGGCCAGTCGAGGGATCAATAGGGTGATGCTGCTTGCGGCGCTTTGCGGGTGTTTCTAGGAAGATTAGTACTGGCCGCAATGTATATTTACGCCAGTATTACCAATCAATCCTTCACCTTCGCTTCTAAATATGTCTGCAAGCTTCCAGGCGCGATGCTGTATGACAACTCCCGCGCGGGTCTTCTTAACCGTGTCTTCGGCTATGCACTGCTGGATGGCGTCGAATTCGTCGGAATGGGAGAGAGACGGGTCCGGGTCATGGATGAATTCGAGTTCAGAGTTGAGAAGGGCGGGGTCGAACGAGGAGGGGATGCCTGGTGAGTAGCTATGCATCGGTCGAGGCAGGCATTGTCAATTTGGTGTTGAATCGGGTGACGGAGTTGGCCTGTGAAGCGCGAGGAACGCGTCGCGTTGAAGCGCGTTGTGCAGCTAACCGCTTTTGCTCTCCTCCGATGTCAGGACCGCCACCCACTACATCCCCGCGAGCTTTAAGACCAAACGACCAGCAACACATATCATTACACCGACCGTCTTCAGGGAATGCAAGATCAGTTGAAGTCACTTTAACATTAGCATAATGGTAAAATTGCGACGTGAACTTGGACCCGCCCTTGCGTTCCTTAACACAAATCCTCATCTTCGCATTCTGCCGAGATAATTGCACCAAACTCGAAATGAGTGCAATGTCTGTTCGTCCCACCAAATTTATGCCGAATATTTCATCTTCTGTAATATGGAAGCCCGAAGTTGTCCGAAACCGCCATAGTATGGCCGGTACTGTCCGACGCACACCGCACAAATGTGTGATGAAAAAAAAAGACATTGCCCCCACCTCTCGATTAACTCAATGGAGTTGGCCTTCTGTCGTTGTAATAAGTACTGAGATCATTGGTACTATGGTGTGAAGCCGTAAATATAAGTTTTGTAAACTAGAAATGTTTTTATTCATCAGTTCTAAAGCTGAATGGCGCAGCGGAAGCGCGCCGGGCTCATAACCCGGAGGACGCACGATCGGTATGGTTACCATGATAGTGTGTTCGATAACAGCTACTAATCTCTTAATAGAAACGTGCTTCAGCTACTCTGGTTTCTTTTTGCATCTGTTATCTTCGTCCACCAGTAACTGATCAAGGATGATATCCAAGGCAGAATGCATCGACAGAGAAGATCTGTATGCTCACTTGTTGTGTATCTAGAACATCTGGAAATGCAAATACAACTGTCTCCTCAAGCGTTCAACAGCAAACGTGGCCCGGGGTAGTGAATGATAAGATTCTAGACTCATGTAAGGTACGGTGAATCACCGAACGATGTTATGTAACCGAACGCTCGAACACAGCTAGATTTGCATGTCTATGCATATATGACGTTTTGTGCGACATTCTCGAAAATCTCAATGTTGATGCATATGGTAACAATCATACTCCCGGAGTATCTCTGACCCCAACCACCTACATGTCAACGCCTACTAAAGGCACAACCATCTTCTCTTGATTAGATCACTAACAACTTGGCTGGAGTATGTGCCTAGTGCACAGCAGTGACTTTCGTTCCAGCGAGTTGCTTCTTCGCGTCGGCGATTCGTTCCAGCTGAATCTGCTTTTGTTTGTCATCCAAGTCACCAGGTATCGTACCAATGCTACTGTCCTCGAAAAGCAGATCGATTTCCTCCAGGGTGAGCTGCTTGGTCTCCTGGAATAGCAATTAGTGCTCTGGGTCTTTCCTTCGCTCACGGAATTTATACGTACCTTGAATACGAACCAGATCGTGGGGAATGTGATGCAAATGTTAAAAGCCACGAAGATGAAATAAAACTTGTACGTGATATCACCCAGACCAATAGGCGACACCTGGTTCCAAATCGTACCCACAAGCCAGTTACCGACCGCAGTTGAGAATGCCGAGCCACGGCCTCGTATACTCAATGGCATGATCTCGGAAGCGTAAACCCAGGAGATAGGGCCGAATGATACGCTGAAGATGCATGAGACAAGAAACAGGAAGAACACGCCGGCGCCGGACAATGAATTCTTTCGTGATCCTGTAGCATCTGGGACTTGCGACCCGATAGCAGCCTCACAGATGAGTGCAATAGTGATACCGATCGTGCCAAAGAGGAGGGGCTTCTTGCGGCCAACGCGGTCGAGGACGAAAATGATGAAGAAGAGATTGCAAATTGGGCCGACGAGATTGTAGAAAGCTGTAACAAGAAGATTCTTATCGCCAGTGATACCCAGGTTATCGTAAAGGATCGTGGAGTAATACCCGATGACATTGATACTTGAAACAGCGTCAGTAAGAGTAATGATAGAGTGGTTGGAAAGAGCATACCCAGTCATCTGCCCGAAGAGTTGCACAAGCGTCGCATGCATCAACCTCGTACGCCATGCAGGCACTGTAAACATGATTCTCCATCCTGGCACGGAAATTGCCCGCTCCGCATCGATAGTCAACTTAATTTCATTGAACTCGGCTTGCACCCAGTCATCATTGCTTCCATTGTAATGCAGCTTTCGAAGTACTCTCAACGCTTCGTCCGCACGGTCTGTTTCGACGAGGTATCGGGGTGACTCGGGGAAAAACAGTATACCAGTGATGAGTATCAGACATGGGGCGCATTGGAATGCGAGGGGAAATCGCCAGGAGAAGGAATTTGTCGAGGGCACTTTGGAGGAGCCGTAGCCAACCCATGTCGAGACAATGAATCCTACACCAATCATCTGCTGGGTAATACCAGTCATGAGACCTGTTCATTTTAGTTTTGGAAATTTTGAAGCAAGCTTTGAAATACAGACCTCTCGTCTTTGGATGAGCGCACTCCGTTTGGTAGATAGGCACAGACATGGAGAGCAGACCTACTGCCCACCCCGCCATGATTCGGCCAACCAATATCATAGCAAGATTCTGGGCAGCACATTGGAGGATTGCGCCTATGAGATTGATAGTAGCGGCGATCATGATGGTCTTTCTCCGACCAAGACTGTCCATGGTGAATCCACCCCTTCCATTTGTCAGTACAACTTGTGCATCTCCCGGACGGCTCAACCCTTACATCAACGAGCCAAAGAAGGCCCCACCCGAGAAAGTCGCATTTACAGCACCTATGATCGGTGATGACTTTGTCGTTTCAAAGAAATCGAGAAAGTTCTTGGACTGAATGACAATGGTCATTACTCCGGAATCGTATCCAAAGAGAAAGCTGCCCGTGCCAGCGAAAATGGCAAGAGCCAAGTTGAAGAAAAGCCCCATGGTTGCTGATGCTGCTGGGAGAAGGTGGGGGAAACAAAAGCCAAAAACTGCTGGTATCACACAGCTTTAAGAAGATGTTACCCAAGGTACATATTATCCCGATATGCAAAGTGCGCGCCTACAGTAACGACGCATGCTGGTCATCCCACCATCCAGCCGGTCTTGCGTAAATAAGCATTCAGCCGGAATGGCGCCCCTAGTTTCCTTTGGTGTCGCTGTCATAAGCTTTCAAGGATCCGGCTTGGTGCAATGCTACTTGCTGATCATCTACAATTCAAATCCGGGGAGACTCGAATGATGTTGGGGTGCAGTAGTGGGAGGGGCGGGGATATAGCGATGTTGAATTTCCGCCAATAGGCAGCATGCACAGTGGAAAACTGGACGGCTCGCGTTAGAGATGCAGCAACGTCTCTGCGGCTCTACACCTATTTCCTAAGGTTGAATTCCTATGTTGCATAACATGTGCCATTCGCGATATGCATGACCCCTCAAAAGTGTGGATACACCTTCCTACGCTTTGGAAATCTTCCACTCCCCGCTCAGCACGTCCATTCCTTTGAGGTTGCCACTGGCATCGACCTCTAGGACACCCTTGTGGTCACCCTTGGTGTCCACCAACACTGCTTTGTCACCCGGCTTCACGCCATACAACTTAACCTCGCCACCAGAAGCGAGCCAGTCATAGCCGAAGCCGCCCTCGCCTTGAGCTTGCCCGAGCACCAAGATAGTGCCTTCGCGAACAAACAGTGGTAATTGGAGAAAGCCATACTTTTCCTTGATCCATCTGCCACCCTGTACCTCTTTGCCATCCCAGAAGCTGAACCAGCGACCGGGTGGAAGGTAGTACTCGGCGGTTCCATCTTCCTCAAATACTGGTACAGCTAGAATCTGGCTACCGACCATGAACTGGCGATCCAGATACCAGGACGTTGGGTCATCTGGAAATTCGAGGGCCACCGCACGAACACTTGTCGGCCAACCGTTAGCAACGCTCTCCTCAGCCTGAGCAAAGAGATATGGCATCAGGCTGCGCTTGAGTTGCACCCAGTGTCGCAGTACATCAGTACAACTCTCTGGTTCGGCAGAGGAGTTGTCGACTAGCCACGGAACGCGGTAGGAGTTCGAGCCATGAAGTCTGCTGTGAGAGTTAAGCAGTCCGAATGCAACCCATCGCTTATAGATCCAAGGTGGTGGGCTGCCCTCGAATCCACCAATGTCGCTGGTCCAAAAGGCAAAGGATGCCAATCCTAAGCTGAGACCCCCACGCACCGACTCGGACAATGCGGCCGGGGTAGACTCGCAGTCACCACCCCAATGGAGTGGGAATCGCTGGGAGCCAGCGCATGCTGTGCGTGCAAAGAGTATCGCCTCATGCTCTCCATATCGCTTTTGTACTGCTTCATATACGAGCTTGTTGTAGATGAAGGCATAGTAATTGTGCATACGATTCGGATCCACAGTCTTGTCGTGCCACTGAACTTCCTTGGTGGGGATGCGCTCACCAAAGTCGGTCTTGATAGAGTCGACTCCAACGTCAAAAAGTTTCTCCATGCATTCTCTAAACCAGTTGCATGCTTCTGGATTCGTGAAGTCGACGATGCCCATGCCAGTCTGCCAGAGATCCCATTGCCATACATCACCGTTTGTCTTCTTGAGCAGATAGCCTTTCTCGGCCGCGTACTTGAAAACAGGACTTGCCTGACCAATATATGGGTTGGTCCAGACACTGACTTTGCTGATGAGTCCGTCCTTCTTCATTCGAGTTATCTGGCCTGCAGGGTCTGAGAAGGACTCGGGGTCCCAGATAAAGTCGCACCAGTGAAAGGCACGAAGCCAAAAGCAATCAAAATGAAAGACCTCTACAGGGATCTTAGATTCAGACATCTTTTCAACGAAATGCCGAACTGTCTTCTCGTCGTAAGAAGTAGTGAAAGAGGTACTGAGCCATAATCCATATGACCATGCTGGTACACGGTTTGATTTTCCAGTGATAATAGAGTATTTGGTGAGAACTTCCTTTGGAGTAGGGCCGTAAATCAGATACCTGAACATGTCAGCTACCGTCCACTTCAAGTGTGCAACAATCTCACCATTTCAATCGTTGCCCTTCTATTGTCGTCTGCAGTCTAGCGCATCTTTCACTTCCAATCTCCAGATCAATCTTGTCGGGGGTATCAATAAAGACACCGTAGCCCCTTGAACTCAGCCAGAATGACACATTCTTATAGGCTTGCTCACTAGAGGTGCCCCCATCTTCGTTCCAGATCTCGACATTTTGGCCGACTTTGTTCCAAGCACCAAAACGCTCACCGAGCCCATGGATTGTTTCGCCGACACCCAAGTCAGTTTGAGTGAACATGTAATGTTTGTGAGCACCCAAGTCTCCGGCAGTTTTTGGTGTGCTCAAAGCCGGAGAATAGGCGAGACCAATACTGCGGTGACCTAGTGAAGTCAATGACTTCGATCCATCCGTGGCGTGAAATTTGATGTCAAAAGTGTGCTCTTTGGAGCTGACAGTTGCACTCAATGCTCCCGATGTGATTGTAGTCCCTTTTTCGGTCTTCACAATTTCGCCCTTGCATTCAGGTTTTCCACCAGGAAAGAGGTCGAAATCTGGACCTAGACGTCTAGCACCGGCAAAATGCGTGACTTCGAGGGAGATGACGCCATCGAACTGGGCTTCCACTTCCACAGATATGGTGCTTAAGTTGAGCGTATCACCACGAGAAAAGATCTTTTTACTCGGGCAAAGCAGTGTGACAGCCTTGTTGTCT